CGGAGCTAAGTTCCCGACTTCGGTCGTGAATTGTAGCGCGGGCGCGTGTCAGGCGCCCTCGACGTGTCATGTAGGCCCGCGCGATGGGCGCCCACGCATCATGTCGTAAGCATGTCATCTGACTACTCTCGCGTAGCGCGGCGCTTTCGTTGCAGCGCGGTTCGCCGAGGGCGCTGGCGCGTCGCCGAAAGCGACAGCCAGGTTCCTCTGGCAGGAGGGCTGGTGGGGAGGGGTGGAATGGGAGGCGCGCGCGAATGAGGGGGGGAGGGGCAATGCGGCGAGGAAGAGGAGGGCGAGGCGGAAGGCGTGGATGAAACGGGGGATGGGAGGGGGAGGGAAATCGAGGGTGGTTGAGGGGGGCCGGGAGCGCTCAGGGCCCCCCTTGTGGCCCTCTCGGAGCCGCCCCAGGGCTCTCCACGAGCCTCGGAAGGCACCGAAATGGCCCCGAGATAACCCCAAGAGAGCCCCAAGAGAGCCCTTAGAGGGGCCCTGAGGCGGGCGGACTGCGGCCTGCATGCGGTCCGCGAACTAGTACGAGCGATTGAATCTGAAAGGGCAAGGCGCGGCACGTGACATGAAAACGCGGCACGCGGCAGAAAAATTATGAAAAGGAAACTCGCGCGCTTCGCGCGCGTCCGTCGACCGAAATTGCTAAATCAGGGCAAGGGCGCGGCGACGACAGCGTTTGTCTCCACCAATCAATAATTCAAAAAAATGCAAAACAAATTTGTCGAGGCCCTGGTTCTGTTTCCTGGTGGGGGAGGGACCCGAAACATGTCATGGGCACTGCCGCGCCCATGCGCACCTCGCCCTACGCCGCGTCCGCGCCGGCTTCGACCCGCCCCGCCCCTCCGCGCCTCCGAGTTGGAACTGCGCCTCCAAGTGCTCTGCCGAACGGCCCATCGAGGCCCCCGCGACCACCCGCGCGTCGGGCCGTGGCGCCCCCGTGCCGCGCAACGCATCTAGGCGCCCATTCACTGCGATCGCGAAAGCCGCCCCGTCGCAAGATTGCGCCTCTCGTCTGGCGGCATCGCAGAAATATCGGCACTCCGCGCGCGATTCGAGCCGCGTGGGCGTCGTGCATCATGAACGCCCGCGCCTCGCTCGCGCCTGCGATCTTCCGAGAAACGGCGCCGGCCCTGACAGCCAAACGCCTCGCTTTCGGGCCCGTCGGCCGCGCGTACTTCAGCGTCGAGAAATCCCCGCGCGCGTTTGCGGGCACCCTGGTCGGCGGATCCTGACACGCGCCGCGCAAGACATCGACAGCGCTCGAGGCCGCCCTCTCGAGCTCACTGCGAGCGCTGCATTCCGTCTGCCCGTCTTCCCCATAATCCGCCAAACGAACGGATTGCGCCGTGTTCGCAGAACTTGGAAGCCGGACAGACGACAAAATAGAGCCAAACCTCCACTCGGGCTCGAACAATGACTCCACCCGACGCGTCGCGACGCGCGCCCGCGGCGCATGTTCCGCGCAGCGCGCCGCTGACCCACGTCGATGACGCGCACGCGCCCCCGCCGCTCAGGCATGCCCAGCAGTCCCGCGCCATGCGCAAAACAGAAATGAAACGCAAACCAAATAAACGAGGGGCAAACTGATTCACCATCTGTCGCCCAGGATGCGCGACGCAACGAATGCGGGGCGCGCCCGTCTCCAAGTCCCGCAGCGGGAACTGCACTGCCTCCAGATCCACGCTCGCCGCTCCGCCCCCCACCTGGAGCGCCCTCGCGACTGCGCGCTCGTCTCAACACCCGCAGCAAGGGCGCTCGGGCCTTGCGCGCCTGCCCGTCCACGCACTTGCGAGACGCCGTGCGAATCTTCGCGCCCCCCTGGCCACTGCGGCCTCCAGGGCGCCCGCAGCCGCGCCTGGACCTTCGCTCTCGCCCCCTGCGCGCGACCTACAAGACAGTTGCTCCGGCGCACCCTGCCGCGACGCGCCCGCATCTACTTGTCCCGCCGACGTCTTGTCGATCGCGGTGGCACTCGGGGCCCGCAGGTCCATGCCGCGCGCGACCGCCCCCGCAGACTCCCGCGCCCCGTCGCGCGGCGTCGCACCCTTCTGCGCCGCGAGCTTGCTCATCGTCGCGCCGCGCGGCAGAAGGCGGATCATCTCTGGCGGCGCGCCGTCCTTCAGCAGCTGCTCGGCCTCCCCCTCCATCGCGCCCGCGTCGACGTTCGCGGTGGCCCCGCGCCCGCGCTTCCTCGCCACCTTGACATGGCGCTTCACAGCCTCGTGCCGCGCGCTCGCTTGGTGAACGGGCGCGGTAGGTTGTCCTTCGTTTTCGCGTCGTTGCATTTCAAGAGAACCTGGGCGACACACGCCGACCTCTCTACCGCGCGAGGCAGCGCCGAGCGACCCCCCGGTCGCCCCTCCTTCTCCAGCCGCACCGACTCCTCCAACATCTCCGCACCAAGGCGGCGCGAAACTGGTCGCGTTCCCCCACGCCGCCAGCCGCCCCTCGAGAAACCACGCGGCGCGGACAAACAAGGGCCCCACCCAGGGGGGGGGAAAGAAAACACACACACACAGGCGGCCCCGAACAGGCCCAGAGTGCGCGGCAGACAACCCAACAACAAAAACCAATAGCCTTCACAACTGCTTCCAAGCGGCCTCCAACAAGCCTCCGAAAACAATATGGGGAAAATGGTTCGGAAAGGGGCCCCAAGAGGCTGCCCTGAAGACGTTGGCCCGCAGCCCAGACGCGGCGGCGGGATGGGGCAAAGGCCACTCGCGATTCGACGGCGTGGTAGCCCGCGCCCAGCCCCTTCCCCTCCTCCTCCTGCTGTTCTTTCCTCTCCCCCGCCCTCCTCCTCCTCCTCCTCCTCCTCCTCCTCATCCCCGCCCTCGTCCCCCTCATCATCCTTATGTCCGCGCACTCCTTGTCAGGATCGTCGCCCTCCCTATCGCTCTCGATCCACGTATTCCTTCCACGGGCTTGAGTTCGCATGGAGCCATTGCGGTGCCCGTCTCCAACATGAACACCTAAACGGGCATCAAACACATGGTTTGCACTTCAAAGTGCGTTGGTTCGGTGATCGACACCGTCATACCTCATGGATGACGATGACTCCAGCAACTTTTTCTATCACGTACCACTGCACGCCGCGAAACCAAGGTCCGCGCAACCCGCGAACACTACGCATGTCTACTTCGCTGTTCATTGTCATTAGATGTGCCACTTCTCTCCAGTCTTTCACGTCCGAAGAAATTCCCCACAAGCCAGGCACGTCGGCGGCTTCGTTTCCGCTTTTGCCGTCCGCTCGCGATTGTTTGCCTCTCGCGTCCACTTGATCTCTCTTTTTGTTTGGGATCCCTGGACCCAAGCAGGGAACACCTCTTCCATCCCTCAAGGCTGCTCCAGGTTCCGCCCCCCTGCTTTCATCGGCAGCATCAGTATCATCATCACCGTCATCACAACATCATCACATCACCCTGGGCGCCGTCGAAGCACATAAGGCACAAAGGACACCCAGGGGGTCGGCGGATGTGGCCCAAGCCTGTACGATTCAAACATGTACAAGACATCCCAATCAGCATGGTGACACATAACAGAAACCACTGGCCAGATGTGGCTCCGACCGGACAGCACGAGTACCACCACGCGGATGAGCATGGTCAAACTGATGCGGTGCCGACAGCGGCGTGAAAATGCAGGCATGCGTTCCACACCCCACACGTATCCCTCGACAGCAACCAACACAACTCCATACCACACCGAACACATGGAAGCACATTGCTCACCGAATTCCTCCAGTCTCGTCATCCGACGGCTGCTGCAGATACGCAGCCGCGGTAGGGATCGCACCCCCCCGAACGCCACGTGAGGGCACAGGTCGCGGTCTGGGGCTCATCGCAGAGCCAGGTGCTACGGATGGGACTCGGGCCACATGTGCGTGAACCACAACGGTCACGGAGAGCAGGAGGGAAAAAGAAGAAGGCGAGCACTACGAATAGTAATGATATTACACCTGAGGGAACCCAATCAGTGGATGGTCTGAAGATTGATACTATGGCTCTTGAGATCGATTGTGAGATCGACTCAATGAGATCGATAGTGTAATCGATAGTGAGGACGATTATAAGGTCGATCGTGAGACCGAGAGTGGTGAAATCGATTCAATGAGATCGATAGTGAGGTCGATCGCGAGATCGCTCATGCGATCTCTAGTGAGATCGCCTGTGAGATTGATAGTGAGATCGATTGTGAGAGCGATGGTGAGATCGATCGAGAAATCGGTAATGAGATCGATGGTGAGACAAATCGATTAGAAAATCAACCAAGACCCCAAGAACCAAAGAACCTCGCCGCCCTCCGAAATCGGCCTGGAAACAAGAACCGGGAACCCCGGAACCCGGAACCGGGAACCCAGGAACCCAGCGTGCGACCAAAATCGGCGGGGCACTTTCGCAAACTCTAGCAACATCCGCGATGACCCCTTCAGGGCAAGGACTGATTGGGGAACATTGAATGAGATCCGTAATGAACTCGACAGTGAAATCGGTAATGAGATCGATAATTAACGATCGGCCCGGAACCAATGATCAAAAACACGGGAACCAGGGAATCGAGAACCCGGGAACCAATGAGATCCGTAATGAACTCGACAATGAGATCGGCAATGAACCATCGGCCCAGAACCAATGACCAGGAACCCGGAACCCAGGAACCCGGAACCCGGGAACCCAGAACGGGGAACCCGGGAACCCAGCGTGCCACCAAAATCGGCGAGGTACTTTCGCCAACTCTAACAACATCCGCGAGGACCCATTCAGTGCAAGCACGGATTGGGGAAATGAGAAGAAGAATAAGGAAACCAACGACGAGGACGAAGGAATGAGGGAAGGAGAAACAGTAGGAGGAGGAGGAAGGGGGAGGGAGGAAGAAGGAGGAGCGAGGAAAAAGGAGGAAAGGGACACACGACAATAGGGAGGAAGGAGGAAATGGAGGAGGGTGGAGTAAGGACGGAGGGCAATGCCCCAAACCCTCCCTGCCGAGGGTGCCAGCAAGGGGCGGTCCGAGCAGATCATCGCCCTTGCCTTGCCGCGCCCCCAGCTCGGTCCCGCCTCCCGTTCCGCCCACACCTCGAGCACGCCCGCGCACCCCACTCCAGAGGGGTCGGCTCCGAGGCTCGTAGGGGGGGACCTCAGCTCCTCCTCCTCCTCTTCTTTTTCTGTTTCTCCTTCCTTCCATTACTGTTATTATTGATATTATTTTTCTTCTTCTCATTCCCCAATCAGAGTTTGCCTCTGTAGGAGTCCCAGCGGTTTCGAAAAATTAGGTAAGCTGGGCCGCCGATTTCGGTGGCCGGGACGGTTGGCCGGGTGCTCGGGTGCCCAGGGGTGCCCAGGGGTGCCAGGGTGCCTGGTAGCCCTATAGCCCTATACCCCTATATCCTTATAGCCCTATAGCCCTATAGCCCTGTAGCCCTATAGCCCTATAGCCCTATAGCCCTATAGCCCTACAGCCCATATAGCCCTAATGACCCTATAGCCCTACAATAGCCCTATACCCATATAGCCTTATGGCTGTATAGCTGTATGGCCCTATAGGCCTATAGCCTTATAGCCGTAAAGCCCTATAACCCTATAGCCCTACAGCTATATAGCCCTATAGCCCTATAACACCGTAGCCCTATAGCCCTATAGCTTTATAGCCGTATGGCCCTATGGAAATATAGCCCTATGGCCTTATAGCGCTATTGCCCTATAGCTCTATAGCCCTATAGCTCTGTAACCCGATAGCCATATAGTCCTATAACCCTATTGCCCTACAGCCTTACATACCTATAGCCAAATAGCCTGATAGCCTGATAGCCCTGTAGCCCTATAGCCCCATAGCCCTATAGCCCTAAACAAATTCGGTGTGGGTTTTCTCCGGTATCAGTTTCTGGATATCAATACTGTTATTATGGTTATGAATATTAGTATTATTAACAATATTCTTATCGATCACCGGACTCCTCTTCGTATTAGTATGATTCGACCTATTATTACTAGGACTCGTATTATGAGTCGAAATACTATGGGAACAACTGCTACTATCCTTATGATTTATTAAAATGAGTTGTATTATTGTTCGTCTTCTTCGTATTCGTACCATTTCAAATATTACTCCTCCTCCTCCTCCTCCTCCTCCTCCTCCCCAGCGCAGCCAGACGCCGCCCCAGACTGAACCCAATTGGACCCCTCAGCGACGCCGCCTGAATAGAGGGGCCAGCTCGACCGACGAGCCTGGAACACACGCGCAGGGGCGACGCAACGAGGAAAAGAGCACAATTCAGACTGATATTCCAGATACTCGGGATACATGCTCCAACAAATTCCTCATGTCCCAAAAGAAACGGCGAGACGTGTTTGCTAGCCACTCCAGCCTCCGACGCGAAAGCTCGGTGCCACGCAGCGCCCGCAGCCCCCCCTGTAAGCCCCGGTAGCGCAGAGGGCGCGAGGATTGGGCCCCCTGCCCCTGCTCCGCAGCCGGCGCCAGGGCGCCGACGCACCGATGGGCCGACAGCCGCCCAAGGCCTTCCCGAGGAGGGACCGAAGAACCGCGAGAACCAGAAGCGGCAGCCTGCCGACAGGCTCGACAGCCCACGCCATGCCCGCCGGGGCTTCCAGGGCAGCATCAAGGTAGACTCCATCCACCAGAGCAGCGCTGCATTTACGGCGCGACAGACTGAGCTCGCGATGTCCGCCAGGGGCGACCTGGGGAAGGGGCTTCGCCCATCCCGACAGGGCCATCGCCAGGGCCTCTCCCTTCACGCCGGATGCACACTGATCTCGAAACCTTCGGCCTGGAGCAGGGACCTGGGAGGAGGAGGAGGAGGAGGAGAAGGAGGAGGAGAAGGAGGAGAAGGAGGAGTTGGAGGAGGGGGAGGAGGAGGAGGAGGAGGAGGAGGAGGAGGGGAGGAGCAGGAGGGGGAGGAGGAGGTGGAGGAGGAGCATGGAGGAGAGGAGAGGGGAGGGAAGGAGGAGGAGGAGGAGGAGGAGGAGGAGGAGGAGGGAGAGAGGAGGGGAGGAGGAGGGGGAGGACGGAGGGAGGAGGAGGAGGAGGAGGAGGAGGAGGAGGAGGAGGAGGAGGAGGAGGAGAGGAGGAGGAGGAGGAGGAGGGGGAGGAGGGGAAGGAGGAGGAGGAGGAGGAGGAGGAGGAGGGGAAGGAGGAGGAGGAAGAGGAGGAGGAAAAGGAGGAGGAGGGAGGAGGAGGGGGAGGAGGAGGGAGGAGGGAGGAGGAGGAGGGAGGAGGAGGAGGAGGAGGAGGAATGGGAGGAGGAGGAGGAGGAAGAGGACCCGGGGCCCGCCCGAACCCAGCCGTGGCCCGCGAGGGTGGTCGATGGGAGCCCGAGGAGCAGGGCCCGCGGAGGCCGCGCGGGTATCCGCGCCTCCAGAGCCAAGCCCTGCCCGGGGCCCTCTCTGGGGAGCCTCGCTGCGGGCGGCGGCGGCGTTCGTGCCCGTGCTCGCCACGGGCAGAATTACCAACCTGGGACATCTCCCTATCCCTAAGCTGGGCATCGCCTCATCACAGTGCCAATCTCAGGGGTTCCCTGAGTTCTTCAGGGCGCATCCCTAAGATTGGCAGCGCCTTTTGGCGTGTCAGTCTTAGGGATAGGGGTAAGTTTGAGGCTGGTGACAGAACATCATCGGTGCGGACTTCTTCGCAGTCACAAGCAATCTGGCCAGCGTCGCAGAACCCGGACGCTGCGATCGCGTTCAAGCCGGAGCCCCGGCGAAAAAATCAGCCTGCCCAGCCCAAGCAAGCCCTACCTAACTGGTGGGCTGCCGAGCGAGTCGGCACCGCTAAGCTGCTCGTCGCCCCAAAGTCTGCTCGGACTCGATCCCAGATCGCGAGCGGAGATCGAACCAGCCCACGCGCCACCTGAGCCCCCCGAGGGCGGGCTCTTTGGGAGGTCCGATGGGCGTACCTTAACGGGCGAATAACGGTATATAATAAACTTTTCCGCTGTCGGGGGCGCCTGCCCCAGGGCGGCTAGAAAGTTTATACCCTTACGGTGGCACTGTAGGGGTATAAACTTTCCAGCCGCCCAGGGACAGGCGCCCCCGACAGCGAAAAGGTTTATATCATACTGTTCTTCGCTCGCTGAGTACCAGCGTGTTTCCAACGCGTTCCAACGGGGCGGCCGCGGGGACAATCAAGCGGCAACTCGCGTCCGATCAGACGCCCGCGGTCGAGCTCTGCACGATGGGCCCGCGACGGGCGCGCCGGGCGCAGCGCGGCGACAGCTCCCCGACCATCGGCTTTCCCCGCCCTCTCCGTCGTTTCCCCCGCGGCATCGAGAACCCCCACCCCCCCGTCCGAATCGTTCGGCTCCGGGGGAGCCCCCGCAGGTCGGGGGGCAGGCAGAGGCGGCGGCTTCCTGCAGGCGAGGGCTTTGAGGTTGGCGCAACTGGGGGCGGAACTGCAACCTCACCTGCTTTTCAACTGGCAGAGCGAGGAGCCCCCGACCACGCCGACACCGACTGGGAAGAACCTCCAAGGCCCCCCTTGGGACCAAGCAACTCGAAAGCGACGCCAGAGTGGCACTCGGAAGGGACGCACTCTTCCACGTGGACCTCGTGGGCCCCCAGCTCGGATGCAAAACCGGCTGGGGGAAATACCTGAGGATAGAAATGCATGCCACCTGCCGCGAAAAACTCGCTCTCGACAGTCAGCTGGGCCTCGCCCGGCTTGGCCAGCGGCCCCGAGCCCGGACTCATCTGGCCTTTCCGAGTGCTCCATGTCGGAGGCTGGGGGGTGAGATCGCAGTGTTTGAGGAGGGCTCCCCGCCGGAAAATCAGCATCAGTCTCGCGCTCGCGTCGCGCGCGCGAGCAGAGCGAAGCTGCGTGGGCGCGCGCGAGGGATGATCCCGCCGTCGCTAGGGCGATTCGGATGCAAAAGTCCGGCCCTCTGGCGGGCGCGCGGTGGCAGGGGGTGCCCCGTCGCGGCGCCCCGCGCCATCCCACTGGCATCCCGCGGTGCCCCGCCATGGTGTCCCGATGGTGTCTCGTGGCGCCGCGTGGAATTCAATGGTGCTCCGCGGAGCCTCGGCGGTGCCCCGCGGTGTCCAGCGGCGTCCCGCGGTGCACCCGCGGTGCCCCGATGGTGCCCCGATCGATAGTGAGATCGATAACGTCCGAGATCAAGTGTGAGCGGTGGTGAGATCGATAGTTGGATCGACGGCGGGGTCGAAAATGACACCGCATCGCGGCGCAACATAGCCGCCGCGCGTCGCCCCCAACTCGAGGGCGCGCCGCCAGCGTCGCCATCGACGCGCCCATCGCAATTTCCAGCACACGGTTCTCTCCCATCCCCCCAACCTCCTCATCGCCCGATGGGCGGTCGCAAAAGTAGAAAGGCGCCGGACATGGAGCGGCCGCTCCTGGGGCATGCGCCGCGCGGGCCTACGCGTGCCCATCGACCACGCCGCCGCCTTCAGCTTCGCCCCGGTCAGTCCAAGCACGCGCTAGGATAACTGCGCCCGAGGAGTCTCCGAACCCGAGGCCTTACGGCTGCCTTACATCCAAAAAAATCTCCAACCTGCGCGGAACGCGCTCGCCGAAACATGATAAAACCTTCGCGAGCCCGCAGCCTGCGCCCCTGAGCCAGAAACGCGGGCGCCAGCGTCTGACCCCTGGACGTCCGGCTGGGCGCCCCAGGTGTTGACGTGAATCAGAACTTCGGATTCGGGCTCCAGGAGCAGACCAGCAAAGGATGGGGGCGCAGAATTGCCTCGCACAACAAAAAGCCCGTCGCGCGCACATTGGCCGCGCAGCTGCAACGCGGCGCCTGGCCGCACATCCACCTGCAAGTCTCCGAAATGACCGGGCCCGCTCCAACGCCAGAAAGTGAATCGACGCACCGGGCAGCAGGCTGAGAAAACGACGCTGGCGCTTTCGCCTCGGGCCCCAGGGCGGGGCCCGACCGATCTCTGTCGTCGCCTCGTCCAGAGCGGCGCGCAGACGAAGGGAACTCAGGCGCCTCCCACTCCGGCTGCCCCGGAAGCCCCCCCCCTTCTGAAACTCTTGGGGCGGCGCCGGCACAGGCATCCACCAGGGAGGAAAAGGAGAGCCATCGGCCTGTCCTGGGCCGGCGGCGCCCTCAACAGAGGCGCTATCCTACACCAACAACACCCTCAACAAAGGCGCGCGCTGGGATCGCCCAGGACGACCCGATGCAGAGCAGGAGGTGCCGGAACCGACCTGCCACCGGCACTCGGCAGGCGCCCGCCGGAAGATCCCCACCCAGCGAGCTCCACGCCAGCCGAAGGGCGGCCGTCGCCGGGGGCGCCGCCAGGGCCGCAGCGACTCGAGCGCGCGCGGCGCGCGAGGTGGCGCCGGCGAGCCAGCAGGCGACCCACAAAAGCTCCGAGACCAGCTCGGCGGAGCCCCCGCGGACGATAGCCCCCCAACGCAGCAGCTGGCGCCGCGGAGGTAGGAACCCTCGGCAGCTCCTCGGCCGCCAGGCCTCCGGTGCCCTGGCCTCCTCCAGGCTCGGCGGCCACGACTGGGCCTGGAGTCCCCCCTCGCAGGTGCGCCCGACCCGCTACCCGAATGAGAGCCTCCCTTCGCGCAGTCACCGCCAGCAGCCGAACTCGAAACCTCACCTCTGGATGCCACACCGCATTCTGTCGTGCGCTTTTTCCTGGCGCGCCCAGCCGCGCGCGCCCCGTGCTCAACACTGGTGGCAAAGGCAGTTTTCGCAGCACCCTTGAAGAGTTCGGACGCGAGCTTATCGATGGCGTTGGACATGGTGTCCTTGCGCTTGGCCAACTCAGCTTCATGATCGGGCGGAAAATGAAACTCTGCCGCTTCCTTCTGGATCTCGAGAAGACTGTCGAGATTTACGAACGCATCGGAAGACATTATGCCATCAATGAACTCTTCGACGTCGACCTGAGCAGGGAGCTGGGCGTCTGGCTTGGACAACGCAGCAGTTGCAAACTCCCGCACCACTGCCTAGTGCTTGTCGTCGGCCTGCTGAGGCTCCGACTTGAGATTGAGGACCAGGTGGCAAGTTCCTACAACTGGTTGCTCGATCCTCCCGCATCTCCATCGCCACGAAGCTAACAAGCCCATCTGCCAGCAGGAGCCTTGGGAGTGGACGACTGAACGTGAACAAGGGGGAATGGCCATGCTTGCACCACTTTTAATGGCTGAGGTTCTTGCGACACACGCAAGCAAAGCACGAGACGGTGGAAATCTTGCCTCCCCTGCCTCCGCACTTGGTGAACCAGTCCGCGGCGCCGCGGTGAAGGTGGGAGCAGGAATCATTGCAGCTGTAACAAGGGAAAGAGAAACTTCCTTAAGCGAAACGTGACTGAATGTCGGAGCCTGGCGGGAGAACGCTAAGGAAATGGTGAGGGGCCTCTTCCTCCTGATTCACCTCCTCCTCAACATCCTCCTCCTCCTCCTCCTGCTCCTCCTTCCGCTCCATTCCTCATTTACTTCCTCACTCTCCTCTCTCCTCACCTCCTTCCTTTTTGATGAGACCTCCTCCTGCCCGTTTTCCCCCTCCCACTCCTTCACTCCAGAGCCTCCCTCCCCTCATCGGCCCCTCTCCTCGCTCATCCCCCCTCCCCACATCCCGATCCTCCCCCGCCACCTCCCCGCCATCCCTCGCCTCCAGCATCTCAATCCCCCCCTCGTCCTGCTGCCCCTCGCCCCCCATCCCATCGAACCCCCGCCGCCCCCCTTCCCCCATCCTTCCCCTTCATCCCCAGACGTCCGGAGCTCTACTACCTTCGGTGCGTGGGCACCCAGAGGTCTGGACAAGCTCCCCGGCCGGCGTTTCATCCCGAGTCGCTCTCGACGGTCCCCAGCCCAGTGGAGGGCCCCCACAAGCCGAAAATACCAAAACCCGTCGACCAACGAATCGACACCGGATGTGTATTAACTTGACACGTTCTGATAGGGGGCCTCCTGGGGCCTCCTGGGAGCCTCCTGGGAATCTCCTGCGGACCCCTGGGGCCTGTCCTGGGCGTCCTGCGGCCTCCTGGAGCTCTCTGGGGCCTCCTGGGGCTCCCAGGGTCCCAGGGAGGATATGTAACATGTGGTTTTCTGGGCCCCCAGGCTGGACCACCTCTTGCGCGGCATCTGGGAGCTCCAATGTTTTCGGAGCCTCGGACCTCTGAGTCTGGCTCTGACCGTCCATGACGTCGTCGCCTCCGTCCACGCGCTCGCCCATCGCCGACCCTCGGCGGACGCCCTCGCCGCCGCTTCGCCGGCGAAGAGCGGTGCAACATATACTTTGCCGCCGTCGGGGGCGCCTCCCCGTGGGCGGCTGGGAAGTTTATACCCTCACGGTGCCTCGTGGGGTTAGGTCGGGCCTGTCCCCCGACAGGCGGATGTTGGGCAAAAAATCAAGCGTACCCCCAAAATGATCCAAAACATATTTTTAAAAAATCGTCCCCTGACTATTGGTTGACTACTCTTGAATTTTCCCCCCGTGGGAGGGGCAGGCCCGACTCAAGCGCAGGCGTAGAACCTTTCCAGTCGCCCCGGGGCAGGCGCCCCCGACGGCGTAAGAGCTCACAGTGCGGGCGCGGCCGCAAGGAACCCTCGCAGGCGACCCGACCATGAGAACCCGCGCGCGAGGTGCACCCGAGGGGAGACCTGGAACACCCTGGGACGCAGCAGCTCCTTTTGAGCAGGGACCGACCGTCCTGGCATTCCTAGAGTCATACCACGAGATGTTCTTAGAACCCAAAAATGTTCTAAGAACAAAAACAATATTCTGAGAACATAAACCCGATGTGTTAAAACAAGACAGTCCCAACCAGAAATGTTCAAACATTTCGTGGGAACCAAACACGGTTCTTAGAACATTGTTTTGTGGGGCTGTAGGCGAGCTGGGACGCCTCGCCACTGCTTGATCCTTCCAAAGCCTGCGGGAAGTCACCGCGCAGCACGAGGAACGACGAAACCCAGGATACCCCGACGAAAAGCAACTGGCTTCTTGATGCGCGCCCCCACTGGAGGTTCTGCCGCTCTTCGCCCGCGGAGCCGCCCCCGCCCCGGGGGGACGCGGCGGAAGTCTCACCCAAAGGCTGCCCGGGATGGCTCTCGCCGGGGGGCAGCCGCGCCAGCAGGATGACGCTGGCGCCGGTCTCCTCCGCGGGGGGCGCGGGCGGCTCGCCCCTCTCGGGCCGAGGAGGGGGAGCAAAGCTCCGCCGGCAGAGGGCCGTCGTCGTCGTCGCCGCCGCCGCTGCCGTCGTCGTCGTCGTCGTCGTCGTCGTCGTCGTCGTCGTCGTCGTCGCTCGCCGTCGTCCGTCGCTCGCCGTCGTCCGTCGCTCGTCGCTCGTCGCTCGTCGTCGTCCGTCGCTCGTCGCTCGTCGTCGTCGTCCGTCGCTCGTCGTCGTCGTCGTCGTCGTCCGTCGTCGTCGTCCTCGCCCGAAGTGGGGGGCGAGGGCGCCCCTCCTCTCTGAGGCCTGGGCGGTGGCGGCGGGCGCAGCCCCAGGCGGGGGGTGCCAGAGAAGAGCTCGGGTCGGGCGAAAGGGGGGGATAGCAAAGGGGGGGGGTGAGAATCAACTCACGTAGCTGATTTTCCCGGCGAGTCCCGGCGCCGGAGGCGGCTAATGTATCGAGGAATGGGCTCCTCGGTGAGGCCGAAACCAGCTGCATGCAGCAAATTTCGTAACCCCCCCTTTCCCAATCCCCCCCTTTCGCCCGGCCCGAAGAGCAGGGGCAGCAGCACTGGCGCGGGCAGGAGCCTGGGATCGGCAGCGGCCCGGACGTCGTCGTCGTCGGACGTCGTCGTCGTCGTCGTCGTCGACGTCGTCGGACGTCGTCGTAGTTGTTCGTCGTCGTTCGTCGCTTGTTCGTCGTCGTTCGTCGCTCGTCGTCGTCGTCGTCGTCGTCGCCGCCGTCGTCGTCGTCGTCCGTCGCTCGTCGCTCGTCGCTCGTCGTCGTCGTCGTCGTCGTCGTCGTCGTCGTCGTCGTCGTCGGTGGCAGCGGGCGCAGCCCAAGCGCGGGCAGGAGCACGGGATCGGCAGCGGCCGGGACCCGCGAGCGGCCAGGCCCGAGCGACGGGCAGAATCTCAAAGGAGAAGGAGTGGCGCAGCCTGCAGGAAGTGCTCACTCAGGGCCTGCTCCATCCCTTTTCCCTAACAGGTGACGCTTCCCTGTCGCACCGCCAGACGTGTCGGTGTTGTTAGGGCGGGCCCGGGATGTGGCCTGAAACTTCTCCTCCGTGCTGGGCAGTTCCAACAGGTGGGGGGCTCTCGCCGTGGCGTCGCGCGCGCCCGTCTTGGACATCCCAAGAAGTTCCGCGGACAGCAGGCGTGCTGGGTCCTCCTCTTGAAAAGACAGCGCCCCGCGTTCCTCCTTGCTCCCGTTGCCCTGCCTCCCCTCCCCCTCCCCCCTCCCCCTCCCCCTCCCCCTCCTCCTCCTCCTCCTCCTCCTCCTCCTCCTCCTCCTCCCCCTCCTCCTCCTCCTCCTCCTCCTCCTCCTCCTCCTCCTCCTCCTCCTCCTCCTCCTCCTCCTCCTCCTCCTCCTCCTCCTCCTCCTCCTCCTCCTGCCTCCTCCCATTCCTGCTACCTCCACCTCTGCTATCCGCGTTAGTCAACCAGCTCGGCACGCCCATCACACGCTTCGCCACCCCACAGGGAGCTCCACCGAAAGCCGCAGTGGGAGGGTCCACCGGCGTCCTCCCGCACCATTCGGCATGCCACTCACACGCTTCATGCCCCCGTGCGGAGCTCCCACGAGGGCCCCAGCGGGAGGGTCCACATGCGTCACCCCGCAGCCTTTTCGACAGACCCCATCACACGATTCGTCGTGGCCCCATAGGGAGTTCCACCGAAAGTTTCAGTGGCAAGGCCTCAATGGCAAGGCCTATGTGGTGCCCCCCCGCACCAGTTCGGCACACCCCTCACACGATGCGTGGCCCCATAGGGGGCGCCACCGAAGGCCGCAATGGAAGGGTCAACATCTGCCCCCCCGCCCCATGTCGGAACACCCCATCACACGTCTCGTCGTGGCCCCATAGAGAAATCCACCGAAGGCTCCAGTGGGAGGGTCCACACGCGTCCCCCCGCACATGTCGGCACACCCCTCAAAGCATTCGTGGACTCATGGGGGGCTCCACCAAACGCCCTAGCGGGAAGGTCCACGTGTGTCCCCCCGCTCCATTCCGGTTGAACCCCCGCATGTTTCGTGGCCCCATGGGCATGCGTCCCCCCGCACACTTTGAGCACACCCCTGACACGCGTACTGGCCCCATGGGACGCTCCACCGAACGCCTGCGTGGGAGGGTCCACATGCGTCCCCCGCACCATGTCGGCACAACCCTCCCACGATTCGTGGCCCCATAAAAGGGCGCCAACGATGACGCCTGTCACAACTGAGCTACTCACAACAGCGCATGGTTGGGCCCTTCTCCTGGATAGTTGTCATAGTGGGGTTATCGCCTTGGCGCAACGCAGTAGCCTGTAAGAACTACAGCTATACGGATGGAGCGCGTGTCGTTTTCGAAATGGTACTCTCGCCTCGGCGCCGCGCACTCCCATCTTGCGAGCCCTGCAGCTACACGGGCCGAAGGTGGGTGGCTTTCAACACGACGCTCTCGTTTTAGCGCCGGGCGGGCTCGTCTCCTACGAAGCAACAGTACACACGGATAGAAGGTGGGACCTTTTCAGAACTAGCACCCCGCCTTGACGCCGCGAATTCCCGTCCTGAAGAACAAGCAGCTTCTCGGATGGAGGGCCTCGGAAACAGACATAGGATCCTGGCGAAAGGCCCGACCACATTATGATCTGACCCCCGAACTCTGAAGGCTTCGCAGACATGGAAGATCCAGCAATAGCGAGAGCGCGGGCAGCCTCCTTAAGTACATCGAACTGCAGTCCTGAACAGGGCCGCAAGGAGCCTCTAGAGCTTCTCAAGGCCTCGGGAAGCCTCTAGATTCACACTGGCGGTATAGTCTACTGCTCTGAACATGTACTTCCTGTTGAACTCTGTGGAATTCACCCATTATGCATCTGATCCTCCTTCAGGTCGCTCTGCTGGTCGTCGAGAACAGTGCTGGCATGGTTGCTGGTCACCTGCGCCTCACAGGTCCAACGGTAGGCCTCAGGCTCGAAGTGGTGGTCGTCGAACTCGTAGTCCTTGGAGTTGCTCCCCGTGCGATTCATCTCGTAAAGGTCCAGTACATATAAACAGCATGTTGCATGACAGGCGTAGCTCACCTGGTTCTTCTTCTGCTTCATGTTGCGCTCCTCCTCCCTGCGCCTTAGCACAATGCGATCGGACGTGATAGCGCACCCCCCGAGCTCCAGAACACGTCGTGAGAAGCGTTGTCCCGCTTCCGCTTGGTGAACGGGTCCGTGAGCTGACTAGCCCCCACGATCCAACGAAGGTGAACTTCAGGTCGTTGCATAGCAACTCGTACCATGGCAACGTCACTCGCTGCCCGCTTGTCCTCGGCAAGTCCAGCCTTGGGCTTGGTGGCATGGCCGTAGCCACCTCTAGAATCCATCACGCTGATGACTGGAACGCGCCCAGCGAGCATGGAGGGCCTCATGAGAACGAGCTCGGGGTCGGTGGTCTCGAGCAGCATAGTCCCGATGAGCTCCGCCATGGAAAGACCCTCGGAGATGGTCAGAGTCTCCGCTCCGAACTGATGAGCACACTTCCCCTTCAACTTGTGACTCTTCCAGGCTTGGATGGAGACGTTGGCGGATTCCCCCTTCAAGACCTTGCGCTGCGTTGCGAACACGATGCAACCTGCCTGCGATGCTCCTTCTCTCGCATTCGCCCAGGCCGCGCCGTTAACAGCAACGAAAACAGCTCGTGGTAGGACACATGCTTGATCTTCTCCCATACGGTTCGCCTCCGGTACGTCGTCGATCACGAGGTTGGGCGCATCTCTCCCTGGCGAAGTGACGCTGGCACTGATAAGTTGGGTCAAAGCCACCGTGCCAAGAGAGGTATTGATCCACACAATCTCTTTGTGTGATGAAGTGCTTGCGGCGTCGCTCCAGCCCGTGGATCTCTGCGGCGCTCAGTGGAGACGCTGCTCAAAACATGTCGGAAGAACTGCCATGCTGGGAGACGGCGATATCTGTGTGCCCTCGTTTTGCGACGGCCCCTTGCCCGTGCACTTGCCCTTCTTGAACTTCCAATCTACGAGGGGGGCACCCCTTCCGCAACTTCTCGCAGGCCTCTTCGAACTTCACGTCGCCTCCTCCTACGCTTTCTTCCGCCGCATGTCCCACCACTCCATGTAGTCCTTGATCGTCGCGAAGGTAAAGACACAGCCGTCAAAGATGGAACACTTGAAGCCGACGTCCTTGGCGTAGTTGGTTAATGCGGTCAACGACTGCACTGGGGCATCCCCGAGTCCGCGGACGGCCTTGAGTAACTTCACCAAAGAGCCCCTCCACGCCAGGTAGTCCTGTCCGAAGTAGTTCTACATGCAGGACTCCTTGAGATCGATCGACGGGGTCGCCTGCTGTGAATGCTGCAATAATATCGGCCAGCTGAAGAGCCCACTTGCTGGTGCACCAGATCTGCAGAATGAGAAACACCGAGTCCTTCCCAACGACGGGGCTGTAAATCTCAAGCCCCGAGAGATCAGGACCGGCATGGCACTGCACGGTCCACCGCGCCTTTGCCATCCTCCAGGCCCCGTCGGTCAAGAACAGCAGCTGCCTCTTACTCGCGCCAGCCACCTCTGGATATCCGCCCTTGTCGGCCAGCGCCCACCTCGAGCCCATGATGCGAGAAGCCAGTTCGGGATCTCGTCGAATATTGGCCGCTTGAACTGGAGGCATCACCTTGACCGCGTCCGCGTTCTTGATGTCGTTCCATTCCCGACGCTCGGCCGCGAGGTAGGGCTGATAATTGTAGGTGTTCAGAAGGTACTTACCCGTGATATCCTTCCTCATCCTCTGGTTGGTGCTGGTGAGAAGTGCGCTCCTAACTGCTGCGCCCTTGGCCTTCTTGATATTCTTCGCTGGTGGCGCTGCTGCTTCCCTCTGGATCCTCTTCGAAGGTGGCGATGCGTTCCGACGCCAGCATGGCCGAGCTCGGGAAGTCCTTCTTCTGCTTGATGGTAATCGACACGTCGTCGAGGTGATCGTAGCGCTGGCTCTTCATGGGAGTGACATCGGGGTTATTCTCAATGGACTTCTCGATCTCCTTGATTGGTGGATGCCATGATATGAAATCCTGGTCGTCACCTGCAGGTTCTGGTGGCGCTGCTCGTGGTAGCTCAGGTTCCTCAGGTGGTTTCTCCTGCCTCGTGAGATCCTCGCACTTGCGCCTCCCTCGGTTCTCGGTGCTCAATTCCTAATTCATCGCGCTGCCAACCTGCTTCCAGGCCGTCATCTCTCCCTCGCTCGCACGTCGCAGTTGTTCTGGTGAACACTTGAGAAGGCCGCCTTGGAGAGAACGCCAGGCGGTGTTGGGCAGCTCGTCATGAATTTCCCGAGAGAGCCCATGCCCCGAGCTAGCTGGAAGCTTGTCGATGCCCCCCAAGAAGTAACATCGACCTCCAGGTTGAAGGTGGTACCTCGCGTTGGCCGTGCCCCCCCCCCTGAGAGCCCGTCGCCACTTCTCCGAGCACCCCGCCTCGATGTAGGCTGCCATGGCTGCCTTGCGCATGTCGGTGCTCCTTGCCAACTCGGCGACGCCGTTGAGAGCTCTCGAACCTGTAGCCAAACTTGGTAAACCCCTCCAATGTCTTTTCGGGAAGTCGAAAAGCCCCCCCAAACAACACGCTGATATGTTGCGAAGCCTCCGCTGCGGAAGCTGTCGCCGATGGCCACGTTGATGGAGTCGACGAGCTCGCAGAAGTCGCCTCAGCTGTTGGCTTTGACCTTCTGCCTCGCACGGTAGAAGGTGTCCTTCCGCCCTTTCTGTCTTGCCTGCCTGCCATGGTGACAAAGGGCTCGTCACCTTCACTTCCGTTCCTTCAGCTGCAGCAGCATCAGAAACTTAGCCCTTCGGAAACACCTTCTCGCCATCAATCACGATGGCCCGTTGTGCCCCATAGACCCGCTATCAGAATGCTCGGCAGCGTCGTCGCATCTGTTCCGCGGCGACTCGGGAGTGGCATAACTACTTGCTGGCCTGTCCCGTGGCACGCGACCTTGAGCATGGGTACCTTGGCGGTGCGCTCGGGACCTAGAACAAAGAAGATGTCCATACCGATGACGTCGTTGAACTGGTTGGTGGCGGGGGCATTGGAAAGTTTCTCCAACCTCGGTCGCTTGTTGGCATCGCAGCTCGGGCAGACCAACTTCTGCACTGCGTCGATGTAGACCTGCCTGGCCTTGCCGCACTTCAGCACCATCACCGAGTTCTCGTTGCTGCAGTGTCCCATGTTCTCGTGTATATACTGCACCTGCTGCTTGATATGCGGGTCGGTGCTCCTCTCGTCCTTAGCGATGCGTGTAGGTGCCGCACAGCATGGTGCAGTTCCCCCTGTCAACTCCTCGCTGGTATTGATGCTAGCCTTATCCTTGATGATGGGCTTGATCTGCGCCCCCGCGAGCTCCAGAAGTGGTTCTGGTCTCTCGCCCAGTAGGCCCTGCAGGTGGTAATTGAGGCACTCCTGGACCAGCATCTTCCCGAACTCCAGCGCATTCCCAGGTAGGTTGGATCTGTAGCGACGCTTTCGTTGATAAGCAACTCCTGATTGGACCTCGGGTAGTCGTTCCAGTTTGCGCACGAGTTGGCCCTCCCAGTCCCTGGAGTTGCTGTCCCGCTCGCAATAGCAATACCTGCCGTTGATCGCCTGCGTGATGGCCACGTCCGACATGAAAGTCAGCATCCGCTGGTGCATCGTATCCTTGAGCTTGGCGCTGCAGATCTGCTTGGGCGGCTTCGGCTTGGTCGCTGTCAGGATTGGTGGGGAACTCCCCATCTGGTGCCAGACCTCCTCCTGCCCCGTTCGAGCCATCAAATGGTAGCCCGACGTCATCATGACATCCCTGCTCACGCAGCTCTGCGGTGCACCATGCCCCTCCAAGTTATCGAGGTTCTGGTCGAAGTCCTCCGCGATCTGGCTCGCGAAGACCTGGCTCTCTGGGGCGACGTCCTCAATAAACCCCGCGACGTGGTCATACTGGTCCAGATGCTTATTCGCCTTGTGATATCGCTGCTCTGCGCTTCGCTGAGGTAGTCTACAGCTCGCTGATGTCCGCCCCGAGGTGGCCCCGCAAGCTCTCGACCAGCTGGTCGGTCATTTCGTTGGCGTTCTCGTCGCCCAGCAGCTCCCTCAACGCCGCTAACGCATTGGTCCTCGGCGACTCGTCCAGCATTTCTCACGCTCCTCCTCGCCGGCGGCCAACTGCGAGTTGGCTTGCTGTACCGACTCGGCCCTCGAACTCGTGGCCCTCGGTCTCGTTGGCGTCGCCCTGCTTCTGGTCGCCGTCTCATCCGTCTTCTCGGCCTTCCTGTGCTGGGTGCCCTTCTTCCTCTTCGGCTGTCACCCCTTGATCTCCGCGTCGAGCTCCTTGAACCCTTCCAGCATATGGATGACCTCCATCATTCCATCGGCCTTCTTGGGGTAGTATTCCTGATGCATCTTGCGCGCGCTGCACAGCACGTAGCACGGCCTTCGCGTTCCCGCCGTGATTGGTGAACTCGCGCAGACAGCTGGTCTCCTTGCTCGGGGCGTGGTCGCGAGCCCTCGCCCCGACTGTAAACCTGCAGGGGCCCTGGTTCGTGATCCCGTGGCGGCGGCGCATCTGAACCCCTGTGGGCGGCCGAACTCCTTCGCAGATCTCGCGCCACGGCCGCTGGAAGCTAAGTGGCCTGCCCTTGCTGATCGTCTTGCTGGCTGCTGGCTGCTCCTTGCATGCTGCCGCCGACGCTGCTCGCGCCGCCGTGGCCTGCGCTGGAGTCGAGGATGCCGGTCCTCGCGATGAGATGGACGGTGAGCGCCTAGAAGATGAACTCGGGGGCTCGTCGCATGACATGCAAATATGGAAACAGCATGGAAGAACTATCGATCGGAGAACTCGTCCTGGCAGTCTGGCTCGAGCCGATCTGGCGATCGTGATTATTGCTGCTGCTGTTGCTCGCTGCGCTAGGTATCGCGTCCCTCCTGAGCTCGCTGGGATGTGGTCCTCCTGCAGTAAAGTTCACGGCTAGCAGGGTCGCGACATCGAGGTTGCCCCCGTTGCTCTCGCTGCGCTTGCTGTTGCCCCTCATCTGATGGTCCTTCAGGTTGCTCACTCCTCTAGACCCCCGAAGTAATCGTGCGACTAGTGCTGCTATGATCCTCCTCGTACATATTCTCGTCTCGCGCGGTCTGGTTTCGTCGTTCGCGTCGTCCAAAAAGCCCGAGGCTCCGGAGGGCATGCAATGTTCGACTTCTCGGTGGGGTTCTGGCTGTCCCTAAGATTGAGATCGATCAATGTTCGTGCTCGGAACGCGTGCCGAAATCCATCGATACCACCTTAGTGCGCAGTGACCAGCTGGTAGGCTGAGCCCACGGCTTCACGAAATTGCCCAGCTGCTGCACGAAATGATTCCCGCTGGCGCGCGCCGAGGAAAGTCTCAAATTCTGCTCCACGGCGAAAGTCTTGGATGATAGCAGCGGAGCCGCGCCCTTGACCAATCGCACGAAGATGGCCCCGCAGAACTGGCCCAGCATGATCGGTATGATGACGCCCTCCGTCGCGGCGCAGACCTGGTCGTTTCCGAATCTGCACTTCTTGCGGTCGGGCATCGTCTCGAGCACGATCCCGCGCTTCTCCTTGCAGCGCTTGACCCAGGTGTCGAATGTGCCCAAGCCCGCCACGTTGCAGCCGCAGGCCGCGCCCACGGCCCCCCAACCTGATCACCCCGACTTCCCGATGTCCACCGCGAGGCTGATGTGCTCCACGAAGTTGGAGCTCCACGCCGCCTCCGTCGCGACGTAGCCGGACACCTCGTCGTCCTGGAGGATCGCCATCGCGATGAAACCGCCTGTCGGCTTCTGCTCGTTCACCGGATTCTCCGGGCACCTTCGATGCCAATGTCAAAGCTACTTGCGTATTCCACACTTGGTCCTTTTCTTAAGATCATCGATCTTCTCCTCCACCTTCTTGCGGTCCTTCAGGTTGTGGAAACGCCCTTTGGTCTTCTCGTCTGCCGCTATCTTGCGCACTTCGCCCCAAGTCCTCAGCACCGAAAGAAGTGGTGTAATGGCCGCCAGACAGTCCAGCGCCTCCGTCTCGGTGAGTATATTCCCGCTGTTGTCCTGCTCGCCGTTCCCCTGGTGTCCTTCGTTCTCGATGCCGAGCAGTTTGGCCATCAAGTTTTGCGCGACGCCATCGGCTCCCCCGTCTTCCTCCGAGCAGGGCTGCCCTCCTTCCTCGTCGACACCCGCCAGGTATGCCGCTCTTGTATATGTAGGTGCAGTCACCTCCGTCACCGACCTGTCGTCCGCCATCCTCTTCCAGGTGGCCACCAGCTTGTTGACGCTGTAACCTGATCTGGCGTGGCGAAGCCTCGCGACCCCGGTGGCCTGTTCGATGGCCCCGCTTCCGAGCTCAAGCCCCACTTCTCGAACTTGCTCCACTGCTCCTCGGAGTTGCCCCAGTCGTCGTAGTTCTCGCTTGCCCACCAAGCATCCCAATTGGACTGACTCCTGCATGCTCTCGAAGCGGTGCCCCGCTGAGCTCCTCGCCGTGGTGATGTCCCCGCCCATCGTGACCAGGGATCCCACGAGTTGTCCTTTGTACTGTTGTGCTGCCCGCCTGACATGCGGCTGTAGTCGCCCTCGTCGTCTACTCTCTCCCACGCGTTGGTTCCGTCGTGACTGTCGTGACCGCCGCGTTTACCACATGTGATCTGACTCCCGAACTCTGAAGGCGTCGCAGACATCGAAGATGCATCGAGCGCGAGAACGCGGGCAGCCTCTCTCAGCACATCGAACTGCATTCCTGACAAGGGGGCCGCAAGGCCCCCTCCCCCCAAACCAGACGTTGCAGGAAAAGGGGTCCTGGAGCTTCCAAGGGCCTCGAGATGCCTCAAGAGTCACACACACACACATCCCGAGGCCCTTATGAAATTCTAGAACCTTTTTTCCCTAAGAGAATCCGAAGACTCATACGCATCTCTGGCTGCGAGTGCCGCGCCGTGTTCTTGTTTTTTGTTCCGTTGGCGGCGAGGCAGGGGCGGTCCGCTCCAGCGTGTGGCTATGCGGGGCCACCGACAGGCGAATTGTTTGGCGTGCAAGAGGGAAGGAGGAACAAAAACAACAGCAACAACAGCAGCAACAACAACAACAACAACAATTACTAGCACGTGGGGACACACCGTTCTCACCAGTGCCAGGGTTTTCATAGGAGGCGGGCAATACCCCCACTTTGTGGGGGGGCCGGTTCAAGCTCTACCAAATTTCCAAACGACTCTTCGCCACCACCCACACCCAGCTTCCCGCCCTATGACGTTCGGACACTTCACTTCGTGGCATGCGGACGACCGTGGCTACTATTCAGGGCCCCGCGGCCGACGACGACGGCGTGCGCGCGCGAAGAAAAAACGAATGTGTCCCGCATGGTATTATTTGACAGGGATGATGGCCCTGGCAGGTGCGCAACCGTTGTTGGCAGAAGTTCGAAAAAGTTGCTCGCAAAAGCCCGTTTGACAGAAATGATTAAAAAGTGTTGGGTTTCCTACGAATCCGCAAGAGCGCGCGGGATGAATTTTTGACAATTTTGTTTTGAAAAACCATTGGTTTTTTGATGTTTTTATGTTAAAATCGCTACGAAAACTAAGGTTTTGGAAGGATTTCGTCTTGCGCGCGCGAATGTCCACTTTACCTTATTTTTTGCAAGGGATTCTTGAAGTTTGGTTATGTTAGAAAAAGAAATGTCCACTTTAGCTTATTTTTTGCAAGGGAAAACCGATCGTAACAACGCAACCGGATCCGGACTCCCCCGTTTTGCCTGAGACTGCCTCACGAAAATGATGATCATGAGGCTGCGGCCTAGGCGCGGCGGGGGGGTCGTGCACCAGGGGCCCCAACAATAATTATTCTTAAGAAGAAATAATGTTCAACAACAACAACAACAACAACAGCAGCAACAGCAACAGCAACAGCAGCAGCAACAGCAACAACAACAACAACAACAACAACAACAACAATTACAACAACAACAACAACAACAACAATTACTAGCACGTGGGGACACTCCGTTCTCACCAGTGCCAGGGTTTTCATAGGAGGCGGGCAATACCCCCACTTTGTGGGGGGGCCGGTTCAAGCTCTACCAAATTTCCAAACGACTCTTCGCCACCACCCACACCCAGCTTCCCGCCCTATGACGTTCGGACACTTCACTTCGTGGCATGCGGACGACCGTGGCTACTATTCAGGGCCCCGCGGCCGACGACGACGGCGTGCGCGCGCGAAGAAAAAACGAATGTGTCCCGCATGGTATTATTTGACAGGGATGATGGCCCTGGCAGGTGCGCAACCGTTGTCGCAGAAGTTCGAAAAAGTTGCTCGCAAAAGCCCGTTTGACAGAAATGTTTAAAAAGTGTTGGGTTTCCTACGAATCCGCAAGAGCGCGCGGGATGAGATTTTGACAGTTTTTTTTTGAAAAACCATTGGTTTTTTTATGTTTTTATGTTAAAATCGTTGCGAACACTCAGGTTTTGGAAGGATTTCGTCTTGCGCGCGCGAATGTCCACTTTACCTTATTTTTTCAATGGATTCTTGAAATTTGATTATATTATAACAAGAAATGTAATTTTCTATTGTTTTTTTGCAGGGAAAGCGGATTACAACAAAACAACCGGATCCTGTACACACCCTCTTTTCTGAGGCTTCCTCACGAAAATGATGAAAATGTAGCTGCGGCCTAGGCGGCGCAGGGGGGGCGCGCACCAGGGGGCCCAACAATATTCTTTAGAATAAATAATGTTCAACAACAACAACAACAACAACAACAACAACAACAACAACAACAACAACAACAACAACAACAACAACAAACAAACGAGGGCGGCCGCGCGGGGGGGAGGGGGAAGGGAAAGTGTTCAGACGTGGAAGAGAATGCCTCGAGACAGCCGAACAGAAGGATGGGGAGAGAAACGAAGGGACGGATTCGGGCGCGGAAGCTGGCGAAGGCGGCGCCGTGCGAACCCTGCCACTGGGGCCTTCCGTCGAGCTCCCTTTGCGGCCACGATGGTCGGCAGAGGCGTGGGGAAATGGATGGGGGAACGCATGCGGCCCCGTGCCTCTGGGGCCTTCGGTGGAGCCTGTGGGGCCACGATCCTCGTGAGAGGTGCGCCGAAACGGGTGGGGTGAAGCACGCTGCCCTTGCCACTGATGCCTTCGGTAGAGCTCCCTATGGGGCCACGACGAGACATGCAAAGGCATTGCCGGCATGGGGCGGCGGGGTGCATGTGGACATTCCCACTGGGGCCTACGGTGGCGCCCCCTTTATGGGGCCACAAATCGTCTGAGGGGTGTGCCGAAATCATGCGGCGTGTGGACCCCCCCCACGAGGGCCTTTTGGTTGAGCTCCCTGTGGGGCGGGCCGCGAAACGTGTGAGGGGTTGTGCCAAAATGGGGCGGGACACGCGTGTGGACCCTCCCACTGTTGCCGTCGGTGGAGTTCCCCATGGGGCCACGATCCTTGCGAGGGCTGCGCCGAGATGGGCGGGCGGGGGACGATCGGGTCGGGCGAAAGGGGGAGGATAGCACAAAGGGGGTGGTTGAGAATCAGCTCACGTAGCTGATTTTCCCGGCGCCTCCAGGCGCCGGAGGCGGCTATGTATCGAAGAATGGGCCCCTCCGTGGGGCCGAAACCAGCTGCATGCAGCAAATTTCGTACCCCCCCATTTCCCAATCCCCCCCTTTCGTCCGGCCAGAGACGAGCGGGAGGTTCGGTTCGGTTCGGTCCTTCTGGAACGCGCAGGTCGCAGCTCGCGGCTGCCGGGCGGGTGCCGCCCCCCTGGGAAGCGACGGCCGAGGTGGGCCGCGCGGGGGCCGACGTGTGGCCCACGGCGGCCACGAGAGGGCCCTTGACACTACACCCTGCGAAATGCTTAAGAAATCATGGGTTAAGAAATTCATAGTCTCATAATCTGATTACAAACCCAGAACTCCTATCAAAATCTTGGGATTTACATTGAAAAGTTAAGAATAATCGAGACTCTGGACGAAAACTTAGATTTTCTTAAGCATCGCCTAGGGTGTAGTCAGATGCAAGAGACTGCACAGCACTCGTGGCTGCATGAAGGCCAGGCAGCCTCGGCGCAGGCACACGAAGCCGAGGGGAGGGACAGTGAGGAACCAAACGAGGCTCCAGAAGCCATGAGCAGAATGAGCGATGGACGTGCGCCCGCGGCGCAACTACGGCGCCCGAGAAACCTCTGGCCTGCGAACCCCAGTGGGGGGGTGAGCCACGGCGGGTCTGGGATCACTGGGAGGAGGAGGAGGATGAGGCGGAGGAGGAGGAGGCGGTGGAAGAGGAAAAAGTGGAAGAGGAGGAGGAGGAGGAGGAGGAGGAGGAGGAGGAGGAGGGGGAGGAGGAGGAGGAGGAGGAGGAGGAAGAGGAGGAGGAGGAGGAGGAGGAGGAGGAGGAGGAGGAGGAGGGGGAAGAGGGAGAGCCCAGCCCCACCACGGCCCGGAGGTGGGTCACAGGGTAGGAGCACCTCCTGGTCATCCCTGCCCCCCACAGGTGCACTGCCGACGCGTAGCGCTGCTAGTTAGAAGCCCAAAGCCTACATACAGCACGAGCCAAGTCTGTCCAAGCGGCTCATGCTGGGTGCATCCTAGCTTGTCAAAGAGTGGCGTCAGCAATGCGATCGGTCATACCCTAGTGCATGTCTGGCCGTTGCTTTGCGCCGCGCTGAGAACTCAACGCAGGTAGAGCCACGCTACCAACTTACAGCCTGGTGCCCAAGCGAACGCACCACGGCCTGTTCCGCCCAGCCCACACCCGCCAAGATCGACCAACACAAAGCAGAAAGGCTTTGCGATAAGTCCTCCTCGGCGCACCAGCACACGTGTCGGTAGGCCAGTCCTGGCGTATAGCCTGGCCTCCTCACAGCAATGATCCTGGAACGTTTCTAAAAGGTCTGAGAGCTACACAAATGGATTGTCCGTATTTGTCGCGCCGCGCACGTTCGAATTCAAAGCTTTTAGCATACACAAGGATGGAGGACGGGCGGTTTTCAAAATGCGGTTCTCGCTAATCAGAACAGGGCGAATTGAGATAACGGCAGCTTAAAATCGGTCCCCCGACCTCTCCTGGGGTCCAAGCGCACCAATCTTCCGAGGTGCGTCCAGGTGACGAGGGGCGCCCCCGAAAGCCCACTGCGCCACGTGCAGTTCGCTTGAAATCTCTCAACAGCCTCGCCGAGGTCTTCTGACGTCGGCGGTGGTCTCCAAGACGCCCCCCCCGCCCTCGAACCCTCCACAGGGTCCGAGACGGGCTCAACTGGGGCGGCGCTGCTCCGGCAGGCCCTCGTTGAACCCCGCCCCCGCGGGGGCGGCCTCGCGCGTCGGCGCGCGCTGCCGAAGAAGAGGGGGGGGGGGGCGGCGGGGAGGGGCTTCGCTCCGTGAAGTGGCTGTCTGCGTGGTCGGGGTCCAGCAGCTCGCACTCAACCTGCGTGGAGCGGATCCGCCGGGGAGCGGGAACGGGGGGGGGCATGAAGCACCCGAGGTTCGGCGAGCTTCGAGCCTCGCACCACGCGCGCAGGGGGCGCGGGACGCAGTCGTTCGAGCGGGGGATCGACTACGGAACTGATGCACCCCAAGATTGACGTTGCCCCTCGAATCTGCGACGAATGCGTGGAAGACATGGGAGTTCCGAATCTATTGCCGCCGACTCGACGAGAAGTGCCACGCTGGAGCAAATCGGTCCTGTTGTCGATCCCGTATTCGAGCCATATCCACGGCCCCCGCGCGCCGTTCCCCTGTGGAGTGGGGGTGCTCCAGCTGCTGGACCATCGCGCTCGCTATGACCGCGACCTGCGATCCATACTGCGACAAACGGGTCGGGCGCCGTCAGCTTCCGTGGCCACCGCCTGGGGGACCGACCTTCGGGGGCCTCGGATGGCTTTGACTGAACGCACATGTCTCCCACCCCGAACCCAGATACATCCACGATCACTGCATTCCGATGGCCCGAAGATCGATCCTCCCAGCAGCGATCCTGGATAGATCCTGGCCGCGTAGCTTCCACCAAAGGCAAGATGTCCGTTCACACGAGAGCCCGTGTTCGAGGACGCCGTTGGTATTGGCACACGTCCCTGAGTAATCATGCTCTCGCTCGCCTGCCCAGCCCTCCACACAGCCATCGCTTGAGCTGCGCGGCCAGCTACAAGTTATTGGAGCAGGCAGAAAATAACAATAAAGCATACATGAAGAAACACGTAAATAAAAGTATTACACGCATAGTGTCGCATGTTCAGATATAACACCAATTAAGCGTCACCCGCCCGCACACGCCCGCTTGCGCACATCCCCAACGTTCAAACACACCCATGCGCGCGCGAATAGACACGCGCGCGTGTTTGGTGCGGCTGCACGGCAAACTCCGCCTCGGGGCGAGAAGCCCCAGGAGGCACCCAACACGCTCCAAGAGGCCCTCGGGGCCGCCAAGAGGCCCCCGATACGCCCCACTGGTCCTACAAAAAACTCTCGGGGGACACCCGAAGAGACCCCGAGAAGCATTCAAGAGGCCGCGGGCCTTCCTGATCGACCTCCTCCTCTTCCTCTTCCTCATCCGCCTAATCCTCCTCCCTCCTCCCTTTCTCCCTCATCCCCCCCCTCCTCCTCCCCCCCCTCCTCCTCCTCCTCCTCCTCCTCCTCCTCCTCCCTCCTCCTCCCTCCTCCCATCCTCCTCCTCCTCCTCCTCCTCCTCCTCCTCCTCCTCCTCCTCCTCCTCTTCCTCTTCCCCTGGTTCCACCTGTGTCTTCCCCCCTTGCGGCATGACAGCGCCCCAGCCTTTATTACAGTGCGTGCTCTCCCGCATGTCTGATCAGGGCAACTCGCCTATGAATCGTTTCTGGATGGGCTGGAGGGGTTATGTGAAGCGTCCCGAATGATGTGTCAGCCCCACCCACAGCGTTGGATTCATCTCTAAGGGCTTTCCATGGACAAATCGAGCGAGCCACCCGATCACATCCCGTCGCTCGTTTCACCGCCCTTCGGAAGACAACCGTTGGTCCCTGGCTGCCCTTGGATACCCTTGGTTCCGAAAACAACACTGTGTCGGCCGAGCAAGTCTTTGCAACCGGCATTGAGCTCAGAAACCCCGCGCACTCCCCACTGACAACACAAGCAGCCACCACTACAACATGCTCTTCCGAAATGGCGGTTTGGAAGGGGGAAAACGGAATGCCACCAGACAAGCTCTTGACCAGAGTCTCTTCATCAAAGACCTGGGCATCGCACAGCCCGCACGGGCCAGATGAACAAACATGGGGTGCATGCAGCTTCGGGCCCAGAAAAACCTGGCCCCAGGAGGGAAGCGGGAAAAAGTTCACACTGGCCAATCTCTTCAGCGAGCAACAGGATGTGTCACTCGGGTGGTGTCTGAGGTAGCTCCAAGGCGTGTGGAGAAGAGGGTGCCTGTCGCCAGGTTCCCTTGCCTCTCGAACCACTCCGCCGAGCTCAGCCTCCCTGGTCCCCCAGCGGTGACAAGAGGTCAATCATCTGTGCCACGGTGTGTCCACTTGGACGCAGTACTCCAGATTTCGTAATAAAGGGAGGGGGGTCTCAATTCGGGGGGGGTCTCTTCCAGGCTATCTTGGAGGGCCTGGGGGGGTCTGGGGACGATGTTGTGGAGGGTTCTCCCACGGGGGAGGTCTGAAATGGCTTGTCTTGGAGGGTCCAAACCCCCTCCCTTTTATTACGAAATCTGGAGTACGCGCACTCGAGGCTCACTTTGAAGCCCCAACTCTTCAGTTGGACTCGGGTGGGCCAACAGTCACAAAACACTCGGCGAGGCAAAAGGGACTCGCTGCCGCTCAAATTCAAGCCTTCATGAAGCTGGCGCCGTACGGGCAACTCCAACCAGAGCCCTCTTGACTGCATGTCATCCCATCCAGGTCCTGTGCTGTGGTGGGTCTCTGGATCAGCTCATCCTCTACAACAAGCTCGCGAACATTAGCTCGGCTGTGAGTGACGAAGGTGGTTTTCTACACCCCCTCAGGTCCAAGAGTTTGGCGGGACCACGGACCTCCCAGTCAGCCTGAAAAGCCGCGCGTCGTGCCCGAAACAAGGCCACTGCTTTAATTTGGTAAACTACCTCTTTCGCGGGGTCTCCAGGATTCGCGCTAGCGCCGAGTCGAATGTCTGAGTCAACGCCTGGCTAAAATTATTCGCCGCCAACACGTCATCATCGAATGCTGGTCAACATGGTCTACAGTAGACGAGGGTATCAGACGTTCTGTAACACAGCGTGTCAGTGGCAGTGCAACTGTATCCAACGAGTCCTTGGCCCCCGACGAAGCCCATAACGAATCAGCCGACGCAACTCGAATCGCAGTACCGCGCTCCCTAACCGCTGCCCATCACACCAACTTGACTTGGTGTGGAACAAATCCTACGCTGTCCTCCGACAAACTAGGCTTCGCTTCAAACTGGTCTGGAACATTCGGCCTCTGGATTTGCAAATTACACTCGGGGCCTTCATCTGCTTACAACGCTGGAAGAGCTTGGCATATATAGGGGGCCACATGTGAACCCTACCCCTACCCCCAACGATTTCCGAGGGGAGGTTGGGGTTCACTTCATTCGGGAGCTCCCGAGCGAAGTGAACCCACCCTCCCCTCAAAAATCGTGGGGGGTAGGGGTAGGGTTCACATGTGGCCCCCTAATAGACTTGCCCCCAGGTCTCCAATGATCAAAGGGGCATGCCGTTCCTAGCTTCACATCCTGTGCGATCCACTTCGAAGTGCGGCACGCTGTGAGCCGATCCACCCCCGAACTTGCCCAGTGCACCCTCCGCTTGCCAGGGGCAAAGGGCCCCTGGCCGCCGTCGTACCAGGCAGCGACTGAGAGCGAGCACAGAAAAGACCTGAAACACCTGAAAGCTACAAAAGAAGCAAAACAAAAAAAAAAAAAAACGCCTGAAACACCTGAGAACGAGCACAAAAAACACTGAGAACGAACACAAAAAAAGACTTGGAACCGCCCCCTCGGCTACATGCAAACTCCAAGCGCCACGAGCGAGCGTTTGGAGCTTGAGCTAACATCGCTACGGATAACGGAGGGGAAGGAGGAAGGCCAGCAGGATGGGGGGGATCAGTGAGTGCCCTCCCTATCCTGTTCATCATCCCTCCGTACGCAATCCTCCCTCCTCCGTCACCTTCACCCTCACCCCCCTCCTCCACCGTCCTTCCTCTGCTCCTTGCTCCCTCGGCAATCCATCACATCGTGCTTATCACCGTCATTCTTCCTCTTCCTCCTCCTCCTCCTCCTCCTCCTCATCATCATCATCATCATCCTCTTTAATGTTCCCTCTTCCCTCCTGTTTCCTCCGCCGCACATCCCTCATTGTTTTCTACTTTCTTCTTCTTGTACCTCCTCATCACACCTTCCCTCCCCCCTTGTTTGGCGCCCGAAACAACCTCTCGCGGATCTCCGTCGCCGTCCACCACCCTGCGCAGGGACATCTCGGGAGGGACCTCCTGCCGAGAGCAGAGGGGAGAAACCGAACACCATAGGCACGGGAACACGAGGAGGGAAGGGAGGGCACCCAAACCTCCGGAGGCTCGAAAATCCGCCACCGTGCCGCCGGCACTGAGTGGAGTGACAACAAGTCCTTCGAGCTCTCTAGAGTGGCTCCCAGGACGGAGGCCGACGATGGCGACGACGAAGATGCACGGGAGGATGGGGGGGCAAGGAAAACGGGGGGCGAAGGACGGGGAGGACAGGAGCGAGGGTGACGGCGACAACGGCAAAGACGGCGAGGAAAGAGGGCGACGACGAAGACGAAGCACACATGAAAGGACAGGGACGCAGATGATGACGTCCACCAGTATGGCGAGGAGACGAATGCAGAGGAACAAGAAGCCGAGGATTTTCACTCTTCCATATTCACCCCCCTTCCTAACTGTCCCCCGTCTCACTTGTCTGTTCGTTTCCTCGCTTGGGACCGTGTCGTGTGCAACGTGTACTGAAAATCGGGGCCCTCCCGGGGGCGCCTCGGTGCCACCGCGCGCCCACATACACACTGCGACGATGCCCCACAATTAAGAACTCAATTCGCCGCCGACCCCTCCTCCATGATCCCTGCCGCCCCCGTCCCCCCCTCCCCCAACGCACCCGAACCGAGCCGAACTGACGGTGGCCGTGGCCGCGAGAGGGGCACGGCTGTCCTCCGCGCGGGTGTCGGTCTGGACCTGCGCAGCGGTGCACCGCCGCCGCCGCGCTCACATCCCTGATCCTACCATCGAAACGCTGTCAGAAGGAACCCTGAAGAAGGAGCGGGGCCATTTTTCCATGAGTTAAACTTTGAAGCCCTGAGAAAAGCCCAAGACAAGCAGTAGCACAAGTAAGGGAACACTGAGCCCCTCCCCAACGAAAAGGGTTCGTTCTTCAGCGGCCCGACAGTACGAACATATACGTTTTCTTATACGGCTTTTCGACATTGGGCGGAAAGGGTGCCCCCATCGTACTTAAGGACCACATCCCAAAACTAATTTCGAGCATCCGTAAGAGTGCCGAGCCAGTGTCGAATCAGTGTCGGACGAGTGTCTCCCAAGGCCCGACACGTGAAAACATTCCAGTTTCGATACTCTTTGTTGTGCTCGAAATTATTTCTGGTGCCGAAGGCTAAAATAAGTTGGAACATCACAAGTCTGGCTCCGGACCTCTGCTCAATACGGTTGTTTGCAACACTGCGTCCCGTGGGGGAGATCGAAAAAACCAAGGACGACAAAAACGATATCCAAAAGGATTCCTCCTGCTCCTCCCGTTCCGCCGCCCTTTTTCGTTTCTCCTCTTCCTCCTACTGATACTGCTCCGCTTTATCGTCATCCACCTCCTCCCCATCCTCCCCTTCCAACATCGTCACCACCACCGACACCATACGGTAATGTTTCGCCTCCTCGTCCTCCGCCTTGTTGCTTTGCTTCTGCCTCCCCAACAACATCACCACCGCCACCATCATAATCAGCAGCATCCGCATCATTATCATCATCATCATCATCATCATCAGCATCATCATCATCATCATCATCATCATCATCATCATCATCATCGTCAATATCCTCATCATCATCGTCATCATCGTCATCGCCATCGTCATCAATGTAGCTACCTTTGGACAATCTGTCGCCGTGGGTCGCGAATCGGCTGGGGGGGGGGGCATGTCCCCATGCTGGTTTAAAAGTATGGGTGTTGCGTCTCCGCGCAAGGGGGGTATGTTAGCTTGTTCCCGAACTCGCTGTAAGTCGTTACGTTATGGCGTAGAACCGTGGCGTATACGTTTTCAAGTGTCGTCAGGCGAATGCCGCACATAAGGGACATAGCGTTCCCGCTATTGGCGCACCCGCCTGCTCACCAATAGTCGCACTCTGACGTCGCACTGGTGGTGACTGTATACAAGCCATGCAGTGGCATGATATTGCGATGGGCAGAGCTGCTCACAATTTAGCGAGGCAAGCTCTGCAACCAAGCAAAAAAAATATACGGCCATGGGATGGTAGATAGGTGGATTGTCAGACGTAGAAAAGTGCATTATCCAGAGGATGACGGATCCTGTTTCCAATGCCGCAGCGAACTGATCCACAACCCGAGCAAATATAACACCGGTGTTCGGGCCAAGCGCCAGCGGGACGCTCGCTACGCTCGCTGTCTCTATATATCAACCCTCTGAACTACTTTCAGAATACCTCCTCCTCCTCCTCCTTGCCCCCCTCCTGTTCCTCCCCTCCAGTCTCCTCCTCCGCGAATTCCTCCTCATCCGCTTACTCCTCATACCGGCTGTCCCCCATGTTCTGCCCCTTCGCTGCCATGAACGTCTCGACTCGCGTGGGCGTCGGCCTTGGATGCGCCGGTGGGGATTTTCTGGTCGCGGCCGCAAACGAAGGCGCAGGCGGCGTCAAGGGTCGACCCGGGCTACGGGCGGAACCCAATATCCAGCGAGCGCACGCACGGCTGCCAAAGCTGCCGACGAGGAGCGAGCGGCGCCGCGGGGTGAAGGCAGGCTGCAGGAGCTGCCAGGTGAACCAGGCGGCCGAAGTGCAGCCATGCCAGAGGCGAGCCCACCAGGAAGACGAACGATTTGTACCCTGTCGGGCCTGTCGCCAGAGGTAGTCGTGCCATCGAACGTAGCAAAGCGCGGGGCTGCGCAAGCAGCAGCCCAGCGTACCAGTGCTGCATGCCAACAGAGACAACCTCACATGGCTGAACAAAAAGGCCAAACAACTCCTGAGCAAACCACGTGGGGGCGCGTCCCACCATGCAGGCGGCAGCTGCAAACACGGCCAGGCTGTGGTGGTGTCTTAGGACCAGAGGCCAAGAACACGCAAGCATTCTAGCCGCCGGAACTGGTCGCTGGTGGGAATACTTTTGGATTGGCGGCTCCAAGGACAGATCCAGGAAGCGGGATTGACGTCTGGGGCAGAGAGCGAGATAATTGGCTGCAGAGGCACGTAGGCCGCTGAAGCGAGTGCACATGCCAGGGACAAAGTGACCCTCATTGGGGACCGACGCAGACAGCCCAGCGGATGGGGACGCAAGCACGGTACCGGCGGGGGACGGAGAAGAGCAGTCGCCCTCACGGCGCCAAGCTCCAGCCGAACCGTACAGCACGAAAAGGCGCGGAGCACGCCGCACTGTAATGGCACGGGGTGGCCAAGACGAGACCAAACTCCGGCCAACGCACACCGAAGGTGAGGCAAGAGGGAGCACGAGACGCAGCGGACGCCAGACGGGCACCCGGCGTCAGCTGGTGGGGATACTATTTTTCCTGCGGCCTGCAATCGGGCTGACTGGGGCACAGAGCCCGAAAATGTGCGAAAGCTCGCAGCTGCACACGCACAAAACAAAATGAACGAACTTCAGGGAGACGCATCTTAGCGTCGAGAATGCGAGGAGTCGCCGAGACGGCGCCAGCTCAACACGACAAAATTTATTCATGGGGCGGTACAAAGCGGAACCCGACCAGCCCCAATACAAGTCGTCGTCTTCAGGGAAACGCATCTTAGCGTCGAGAATGTAAGGAGTCGCCGAGACGGCGCCAGCTCAACACGACGACGGGGGGGAGGAGGGGGCGAAGCGGGCGGCGACGAGGGGAGGGGGGGGGAGGAAACCAGGCCTCTCTCACAGAACACCTCACGTGTTCGAGTCTTAATGGTGGGGATACGTAAAACGTCAAGAATCAAAGTTTCCCGTTTGTTGTATCGATGTCTTCCAAGATAGCTCCAAGCGTTCCAGTAAGCTCCCCAAGCGGGCCTCATGAGGCGTCCTCCAGGAGGCGCCCAGAGGGCCTCCAAGAGGCTCGCAAGAGACCCCCAAGAGGCCTCAAGAGAATCCCCGAGGCAACCCGGACGCTCAAGACGGCCCTGGGCCCGCCAAGATGCCCCCCCGGAACGCCCCAAGAGGCCTCGAAAAGCTTCCACGCGACATCCGAAAGGCATTGAAGAGACTTCTGGATATTGTGTTCGCCCTCCTCCTCCTCCTCCTGCTCATCCCTCCTCCTCCGTCTCCCTCCTCCTGGTCCCTCCTCCTCCCTCCTCCTCCCTCCTCCTCCCTCCTCCTCCCTCCTCCCTTTTGGGCTCCTGCCCTCCTCGTGGTCACTCCTCCCTTGTACCTCCTGCCTCCTCACTCCTCCCTCCTCCTCTCCTCCTCCTTCCCTCCTGGTCCTCCTCCTCCTCCTCCTTGTTCCTTGACTCCTCATCCCTCATTCCTCTCTCCTCCCCCTTTCCTTTCTTCCTACTCACTCCTCCTCCTCCTATTTCATCCTCCCGCTCATCCTCAATCATCATCCGCATATTTGTCCCTCCTTCCTCGCCTCTACTCTTCTATGTTCGCCTCCTCCTCCTCCACTTCTCGTCCTCCTCGTGCCTCCTCGCCACCTACCTCCGGCTTCCTGCCCCTCCTGCCTCCTTCAACCCTCCTACCTCGCCTCCTGCCCCCTCATCACAAATCAAGATCCGTTCTCAGACCTCCTTCAGACCGATCCTCGCCGCTATCCGACCGCCTTTCCCCCATCACCTACTTCTCCTGCTCCTCCCTCGGACGATCGCGACTGCTCCCCAGTTTGCTCCTACGTTTCCGCGATCGTATCAACTCGCCTGGGCGTCGGTTTGGGATGGTCAGGTGGGGATACTTTTTGATCTGCGGCCCCAAGGACGATTCCAGAGAGCGGGTCGTTTCGAACATGGGGCAACATGCAAGATAATTGCCAGCGGGCCGACAGCCAACGCCAGAATGCACATGTGCCAGAGAGGGCGTAGCAAGCTTGGGGGGCCAAGCGAGATAATTGCCAGCGAACCAAAAGCCAACGCTGGGATGCACGTGCGAGGGGAGAACCCCATTAGGCCCAGCAAAAGCAGGACGGCGAGCAGATAATTGCCAGCGGGCCAGAAGCCGACGCCGGAAAGAACACGCGGGGGAAAAATGAACCGCATACCGACGAGCCCAGCACCCGGTGAAAGCGACGCTTAAACTAGGAACCCTCATTCACGGAGCAACTGAAAGCTCATGGTCGGCTGCACGCAACCAGTGGGTGGAAGTTCCACTGGGCACATTCGTCAGGACCGAAGTGCGTCGAGGGAGGCGTGGGCCTTCCCGCCGACCCCATCTGGCCAAGGTGCGCCCAGGCGGGCAAAAGACCATGTCCGTGAACGGGGCCAAGTGGTGAAGCCGTCGTAGGCGCCTGCCAAGGGGGGGGCCACAGAGCAGTGCCGACGTAGAAGGTGCGTTGTGTGGAACGACTGGGGCGGGCCTTAGGCCGGCGGTCCCAGGCGCTCGATGGCCCAGGCGGGCGAGGCGGGCCCATGTCCGAGAGAACCAGGCCAAATCCAACCGCGCGCGTGGATTATTTCAGCCGACGCCACACGGGCTAAGTCCACGGTGCACCGTGGAAAGCTAGTCGCAGCGCGGCCACAGAGGTGTCCCACATCCAAGGGGGGGTGCAGGGAGTGCTACGACCTGTCACTGCGGTGAAACAACCACGTCGAACGTCCTGCTGTGGGGGTCG